TTTTTAACAACAACTAAATTTTGCAGTGTAATTTTGTATTAAGCAAAGTTTCAATAAATATTTTCTCAGTATTTGTGGCAGTTTCTATAAAAAATTTGAAACACACTTTTCTTGAAAATCTGACGTGCTGGAAAAAAACGTGCAGATTCGTGATTAGCACATCCCATTTTATATAGGGCACCTATTAAACTTTTTTCATAAAAAAATGTAGGCCTATGTTATTGAAGAAAGAGTATAAGAAAATTAAATAAACCAAAATTTTATAACTTGTCTATGTCAAAAAATGTGTTTTATTAAAATCGACCAAAAACTTAGGAACGTAGTGTATCACACACTAACACACAGTTTCGATCATAGTATTATTTGAAAAAAAGAAGAATTACAAAATAAAAACAGCATTGTACTAAAATGTGCCTATTATTTGTATAATATATCAAGTTGTTATTTTGACATTTATCAATGTCTAACAAGATTTTTTGTGACCTTTATATTTTATTTATTTTATGTGATTTCCAAATTAAATGGACATTAAATTCCAAACATTGAACCACCTTCAGAGACATTACAAGAAGATTTTAATTATATTATCGAGTGCTATAAGCATTTATTTTATAAAGAATTATATTTACAAAAAGATGCTCGGAAGTACAAAGCCAAAGAAACGAGAACCAATCAAAGATTTTCCGACCATACAAGACATTCAGAAATTTATCGAAGAGATTCCTTTTGATGCTATAAAAGTTAATAAGAGTGTAACTTTAAAAGATTTGCTGGGAGAGTTATCAGATTTTAGCGAAGACGAAGACTGGAAAGAGCTGATTGCAAGTGTACATGATATGTATAATGATAACTATGTCGCAAATGAGCAATAATTGTGAATAAGACAATTTGTTCGAAACTAATAGGAATTACTTATCATTATTTATAATCTAAAGTAGAAGATCTATAAACGAATATTTATTTTATAATTTATATTTTTATATTATTTATAACTATCTAAATTGCTACGTAGCAATATATCTGCAAGTATAATTTTATTAATTAAAATACCTTTATATTTTTAATTATACACTAAAACAATTTTTTTGTTTCAATATTTGAAATAAATTTTAAATTACAATAAATCCATCTTTGATATTTTTCATATTATAAAAGATTCTGTCCAAATTGAAAACGGGTACACCAAGTAGCTGCCCATATAAAGTGGATACGGAAAGACAGAGAACTGCTAAAGACTGTTAAACATCTAAAAATGTCTTATCTGGGACATATAGTAAGGGGAAGTCGATATAAAATTTTACAACTGATCCTTAAAGGCAAAATAGAGGGCCGTAGAGGTGTAGGAAGAAATCAAGTTTCTTGGTTAAAAAACATTCGTGAATGGACTCAGATACCAAATGCAGGACAATTATTCCATATTGCAGAAGATCGAGAAGCCTTCGCAATGGTGATCGCCAACGTCGGATAAATCTGATATGGCACGCGAAGAAGAAGACGACAAGATTGTGACAAGAAAGCTTTGGATGAAAGACCAGGAAGAATAAAAATTGGTGGAAAAACAATTAATAATATCAGATATGCTGGTATTACAGCCAATCTTACAAAAAGTATGTGAGATTTTCAAATACGGTTAAACTTGATAAACGAAGCAAGCCGTCGGTCGTAAAGGTCTCAAAATTATTATTAAAAAAAAAACAAAGTGGATGGTAGTTTCAAAATAAATATAACTCAGCAGCAAATTTGGATAGATGAAGAGACAGTCTAACGTGTCAGTCATTTTAAATATCTACGCAACTGGTTAAACACAAATGCAAACTATAATGGGAAAATAAAATCCATGATAATCAGTTCTTAGGTGATTTTGAAGTGTTATGGTTGCGAGATAATGACTCAACATTGAACAAATTAAAATCATTTGACTTGTGGTGTTACTTTGTGATTCTAAGATTATCGTGGGTCTCGCACATTTTCAGCGAGAGTGCTCTCAAAATAATGAACACTGAACGCCATAAAAAGAAGAAAAATTTAGAATTTTGGATACATAATTAGAGGAACCAAATGCCATTCACCTCGGCATACAGGGAAAAGGAAAAGGCAAAAGATGAATAGGGTGTAAAAATCCATCTTGGCTGCGCAATATTAGACAATATTGCGCATCTTAGTCTTGCATAAAGTCAATTTTGGGACCCCAAAAAATGCAAAAAGTTTTCCACTCCTACACACCGGCCTCCTCCTAAAACTTCCCCTCGTAGACGGGGGTCGGCGGAAAAAATCTGTTTATTAATAATCTGTATGCCGTAAAAAAAAATTGGGGAAACATTCAACATGATTTTGTATCTGTTGGAAAAGAAACCCTCAAACCACTTAAAGAAAAAACAAAACCTTGGATGACAGTAGAAATTCTTGAACTCATGGAAGAACGAAGAAAACATAAAGCAAAAAACCTGAATATATACAAAGAAATTCAGAGAAACATCAGAAAGAAAATTCGAGAGGCAAAAGAGAGGTGGCTCTCCGATAGATGCAAGGAAATAGAAGATCTGGATAAAAAGTACGATAGCTTTAATTTACACAAAAAAATCAAAGAAATAACAGGTTCTAGAAAGTGTACAAAAACGAATATCCTTAAAAATGATAAAGGGACCAATTACATTCAACAACTATTTAATGATGAAAGAGAAGAACTGTCATTAGAAATTACCGAGGATACTGGACCACCAATATTAAGAAAAGAAGTCATCTATGCCATCAAAAACACAAAAGAGGGTAAAGCTACTGGACCAGATGAGGTGCCCATCAAATTATTAAAACTCATCGATGAAGATGCTATTGATGTAATGGTTGAACTCTTTAATCTAATATATCAGACTGCCACAATCCCCAGACAATGGCTGCAATCAACCTTTGTAGCAATTCCCAAAAAACCAAGTTCAACAACTTGCTCAGACCACAGAACAATAGTTTTAATGAGTCATACACTTAAAACATTTTTGAAAATAATTCACAGCAGAATTGTTAAAACTCTTGAATATGAGATTAGTGACACACAATTTGGCTTTAGAAATGGTATGAGTACAAGAGATGCTTTGTTCGGCTTGAATGTGCTGGCTCAGAGATGCATGGACATGAATCAGGATATGTACTTATGTTTTGTAGACTTTGAAAAGGCATTTGATAAAGTTCAACATAAAATGCTTGTAGATATATTAAAAAGCAAAAATATTGACAGTCGTGATCTGAAAATTATATCTAATTTATATTGGAATCAAACTGCCAAGGTAAGAGTTGACAGCCAGTACACCGAAAATATCAAAATACAGAGAGGAGTCCGCCAGGGTTGCGTGCTGTCCCCACTACTTTTCAATGTCTACAGTGAAGCGGTATTTCAAGAAGCGCTCTCAGACTCAATAGAAGGTATATTTATCAATGGAGAAGTTTTGAATAACTTACGTTTTGCAGACGATACAGTAATAATTACGGATAACAACAATGATTTACAGAACCTAATGCAACGCCTTAATGAACGCTGTCATGAGTACGGACTGAAGATAAATTTAAAGAAAACTAAATGCATGATCATGACTAAATCTGCACATGCAAATATCCAATTGACTATTGAAGATACTGCAATTGAGAATGTTAATAACTATAAATATTTAGGAACATGGATAACATCAGATGTAGACCAAACCAAAGAAATTAGGACACGTATTGAAATAGCACGTACATCATTTATTAAACTTAAAAAGTTTCTTTGTTGTCGGGATATAAGGTTAGAACTACGCCTGAGAATGCTTCGATGTTACGTGTTCTCTACTCTTCTTTATGGTCTGGGACACTAAAACAAGTTCATCTGAATAAGCTGGCCGCCTTTGAATTTTGGTGTTACAGAAGAATCCTACGAATATCATGGATTCAAAGAATGTCAAACATGGAAGTAACTAGAAGGATAGGAAATGAGGCGGAAATAATATTAACTATTAAAAGACGAAAACTTGAGTACTTGGGACATGTGATGAGAGGGCAAAAATACGCATTATTACAACTTATTATGCAGGGCAAAATCCGAGGAAAGCGAAATGTGGGAAGACGAAGAATATCCTGGCTTAAGAACTTATGGGAATGGTTTGAATGCAGTAGTGCAGAACTTTTTAGAGCGGCAGTCAACAGAGTCCGCATAGCCATGATGATTTCCAACCTTCGATAGAAGATGGAACTTAAAGAAGAAAAGAATGCCGTAAAAAAATATTTCAAATAAAAAATGTATCTGACATAATTTTGAGCTAAAACGTTTATTTGCACTTTGTGTGTATAATAAACCGTTCTTTCAGAAACAACACATGAAGCGACTGGCGATTTTGAATGTCAGTTACGCGCGCGAAAAAATTTTTAAATAAAATTTGTATCAATTCGACAGTAAAAATTCGATATCGTTTGATAAAAATCTCCTCTCGACAAAAACCAAAATTTGTTTTAAAGATGAAGAGTGCAACTTTCGTATGCAATTTTTTATGTCAATTTTTATAAAGGTATTAAATAAATAAACGTTGCACGACTTTTGCTATTTTTTACGATTCTTATAAGATCAGTAAAATGTATCACGTGAGACAATGTATCATATGAGATCAGTAAAATGTATATTAATTGATCGGTCGTAGTAGAGCTTCCATTGTTAAAGCCTAGTCTTTAAAACCTATAACATGTAATTGTGATTTTGAGGTTATGCAACAAATATGGGGCATTTAAAATATGCATAAAAACTCAGAATTTAAACGTTTACATTACATACGATCGCAAGTCACGAAAATGCCTCCACAAAGACGGTATTGGGTGGAATTTATAGATGAAATCGTCTAGTTTTGAAAAACGAACTTGTATAGTTGACAAGTAGTTTTAAATCTTTTAAAAATATAATTAATAACACCTGAGATGAGTACATAACCTTTCTATGTCAGTTTAAAGCTAATTATAAATATAATAAATTATATCGGAGTACTTACTTGTAATCAATACATGCTTGACTGTCAGGACATTGACTATCCTCAGTACATTCTCCTTGGAAACAAGCTCTAAGAGGATCTCCGGTATATCCACGAGGGCAGGTACACACTGGGCGTTCGTTATTAGATCTGTCAAAACCTGGTTCACAATGGGCATTGCTACCACATGGATTGGGTTCACATAAATCTCCTGGAAATTCAAACCGGTATAATGATACAGATAACAGGCATGATGGCATTAAAAACATGATAGCTGTTCTTTATTTTAGTTCCAATTTATTTTGGTTTGAATACGTTTTTCTAATTATTCAAAGGAACTTTTTAAGTTTATTTAGTGTAGTTTCTTAAAATGAACCGCTAACAGCACGAAAATCAAAATTTGTCAAAATCTGACTGCATTCGAATCAACACTCAAGTTGAATTCGCTGAATGGTTTAATGTCACTCAGTCAACAATTTCAATAGTTTTAACATGTTTTGATGTCACTGCGAGTAACTCAAGAAGCCTGGTCAAGACCACAGAAGAGCAGAAGGAATACAACTCCTTTTGGACTCCAATTTTTGGACTATTACAATTTTAGAATAACTCAAAATACGATAAGGAGAAGACTTATCCCAATGAGAGAAGTAACCCATTGGCCAAGTAGTGACCAGAGATCATAGAAGGCAAATATTGCATTTTTCTCGTAAACACCTTTGAAGTAATGCAGATTGGGAAAAAATATTATTAACTAATGAACACTGTAGTAATTGTATAGTATAGTGGCGTCTCAGTAATGGCGTGGGTAGTATTAATTTGGAAGCTCGTAAGGAATTAGTTTAAATAGATAGAGGGGAGGTTATAGCACAAAAGTGCATTACAGACATTTTATAAGACTGTCTTTTGCTCCATTTATTGGGGAGAATTTCATGCTTGAGTATGATAATGCAATTTCAAGAATTGCGCAGCGATATCGTTAGGAGGTTGGAATTCCTGCCATGGACCTGCAAGAAGTCCCAATCGCAACCCAATAGAACAGGTTTGGAATATTGTAGGAAAACTATTACGGACAAACGGAATTCGGCCAGATTGTGCAGACGTTATTCAAGCTTCCTGAGTCATATTATCGATAGCAGCGATACATGAAAATTTAAAGTTCCAGACTTACACTCACAATAACTCTTACGAACGTTATTGTTTGTATAGATGATTTACTTAGAAAGAATAATATTTAGTCTAAAAATCACTTTACCCAAATTGGAAAGTTTGTGAGTTATAGCGTTACACCACGTTTTTATATTATCACTTATTACTGCAAACAGTTGTAAACAAGAAATAATGTTATTCAGTTATATTTCAAAATGAGCCTGTGGTAGATTGAGTTGATTGTGCTTGTTGTAGTGAAAATTATTTAATTAAAGACATTATGTATGTAGATACTTTTAAAATGTGGCGTCCTTGGGAGAAAAATAATTTGGGGCATGAGGTTGAAGAGCTAAGATAAGAAGATTGTTATTAATTAGAAGATTTACAGGACGATTATGTGAAACGCAAGCGAAGTATTAAATACCTCTACTGATGCCAAAACTAGAGTTAAAAGTGTGTATGAAGAAGTGTGCTCTGACTAAATTCGAGACCAATACAGAAATTGTTTTTTGAACAAAAGTGAAAAACTTAGCCGTATGTGCCATTAGAGGAGGGACATCTACATCAAGAAATAAGAGAAAATATAGTGGCAATTTTCGAAAAATAGAAATCCACTTGATTCAACCTATAAGTACAACAATATACAAATTGTATGCAGCTAACATTTTTCCCACGATTGAAATTCTTCGACAAGAACTAATTCTAAAAGATATTGTTTCTTGCTCGGCAATAACACTTCGCGTTTGCTTTAAAGCTAATTATTTTAAGTATGGAATTAAAACGAAACACTGTATATTTGAAATGGCATGAAACCATAAAAAAGGCTGAATACACAACAATAAAAAATGTTCAGTTGCATTACCATCCAATAAAGGTAAAATAATTATTATTTTACACAGCGGTGGAGAAAACGGATGAATCAACGACGTACTATAGATATCTGTCAAAAAAAAAAATAAAGATGCGTCATGCGTCATTGAACTACCAAGATGATATGGACAGTGGTCTTTTTGAGTCTTGGTTTGAAAAAACTCTTCTCACAAAATTGCCCCAAAACAGCGTAATTGTCATGGACAACGCTTCATATCACTCCAGACTAATTAAAAAATACCGAACTCTACTTGGAACTTATTCCAAATCCAAAAATGTATATACCTACGAAGAATATTACTGAAAGTAAGAAATTTCAAAAGAAATAAAATGGACATTAAAATGGATATTAAATTCAATGTATATTGAATCTAATAGAAGTTTGGCCTCTTAGTTATCGTAGGCTATTCTCCAATTAATTGCAGAAGTAGTAAAAAACATTACATCCACAAGTTGGAAAAACATGATTTAACACGTAATGGGAGTGGAAAACGAACACGCTAAATATTTGCGTACAATAATTAATTTAATTATAACTGTATACAATACCAGTAATGACAGTGATATAATGTGCGATTAGTGATTCTCAATAAAGTTGTAAGTAATTAGAAATAGATCTTTATTTACTGTAGTATTTATACTACTTTGATATAACAGGGAAAATGTATATATACATGCTTTTCGATTTAAAATATAACTTTTTTTGTTTTAATTGGAGCAACATTGATAAAACATTGTAAGAAAATAATTTACGTAATTTAAAATTTTAAAGCATAATACGGTTCTGTTAATATCCGAGAATGCTTTTTCTTCACACAATATTGCTAAACGTAGTGGTAGTCATACTATAACTACCTAACCCATCAAATCAATTAAATCAATTGTTTTTGCGATTGTTTAAAATCTGGGATCAAATTAATCAAGATAAAATAAGAACAGTAGTTATTAGTATAAGAGTGGATAATTGAAATAATAATTTAATTTATGTTACGTCTGCAAGTCCAAAAATGTTCTCAAAATGCAAATAAACAAGTTAGGAAATATTGTAATTTTTGACATTTGTGCCTATTTCTACAGAAAATATAATAATGGTTTTAAAATGCCAAAGGAAGATAGTTTCAGAACCATACTACCAATACTGATACCATTAATGCTGTACCTATAAAGCAAAAACATTAAAAACTTGATGAAGGGGAAGATAATTTTGATAGAATATTACAAAATCGTCAAAGGGATCAGAATTGTGTGATTTCGCGTTCATGGTCAAAATACTGTGATATAAAATGCAATGCAAAAGAATCGCAGTACATTTTGTATCTAAATTATAATAAATAAACCGAACGGATTGAACCAATAAACATTTTTAATATGCTTTAAAAACACGAAAAATATACCTAATCTGATAATCGTTAAATGCCTTAAGATACTGGTAATATATTTGAATCTCTCTTCTACACGTGATCATGCTAGGAAGAGTAGAAGGAAGGAAAGAGGTATATCAGAAAATGGACTAACCTCAGTGTTAAACAGATATTTCACGTTGCAAAAGATAGGGAAGCGTTTAAAGAAGTGATCAGCAACTTTCGTTAAAAGACAGTATAATAAGAAGTATATTTAGCTGGTAGTATATATAACTTTCAACTACGTATAACTTCACTATTTTGGGGTTATAACTGTGATCCAGATCTGAGATTCGATATTTGGAAGGTTATAAATTTAAATGTATAACCATCCAAAGGGCGATATTTCTATTGTTGTGAGATTAAAAACTGGACACGGAAAATATGGGGCGCATCCGCATATATTGGGAATATTGAATTCGTCAGTTTGCTTTTGTGATAATGTTTCACTTAGAGATCTAAATCATATGTTTATGGAATAAAAAATTAGCGAGAGATATATAGACCAATTATATTAAAATCTACAACAAGAATAAGTGTCTTTTCCAATAAGTATCGAGTATTTACTAAGTTTCCATGAAGTGAGAATAATCAATTTACTGATTGACTGTTTAAAAGAAATAAACATTGTCATTTAAATAAACATAACAAAAATATAACAAAACTAATAGATCTTGTAAAAAATAACAAATTAAAACCTATGTCAAAAAACCTGCTTCCAAAACATCTTCTCTCTCTCTCTCATACAGACACAGTTGTATGCTAAACATTATAGTGAAATCACTGCAAATTTAAGAAATATCTGTTAAATTCCAATTATTAAGATAAGAGTATAGCAACGTAGTTGGCACGCTAAGAAAATAATGAAGTATTACAGCTAAGTATGAAAAATAATCAAATTTATAAAATATGTGCTTACTTGGTTCAAAAGGCCTGCAACGGATAAATGGATCACCAGTCATGTCTTTGGGACAGGAACATACAGGTGTTAGTCCTCTGAGTTCACAGTTAGCACCAACTCCACAAGCTCCTTCGCAAGGGCTCTTGCAAATACCATAATAACAAGCAGGTTTAGAACTAGGACAGTCTACATCTCCGTAACATTCTGGTTGACATGAAGAGTAAGGATTTCCAAAGTAGTTCTAGAAAAGATAATATCATTTAATGTCAAAACTGATTTAAATCTATATAAAAAATATTTTTTTACTTTTAACATAAAATTGTGGTTACCCCGAAACTTAAAGTTATTTTGGATATTTTAATTTTTTTCTAAGTGTTTAACAAAGAATCTAGTAGCAGAAATGTAGTGGCTTAGGAAGAATGTATCTCTAGTGTGTGGTACGTATTACGGCTGTACAAAGACCCTGGTCTGCTCACTCAAAATCTGGTTCATGACGGTGCACCACTATCACACTTGGAAAAAATGCTTTCTCGTGTATTAGGCGACTTTCTCGTGAACACCAGATTGTCAGATTGAATTTTATACGATAATACTTTACTTGGACATTTGCAGATTAGAGTTATTAGTGTATTATTTTTCAATGAATTGCGATTCTTATAGGTTTAGGTATAAGTGTAATAATGAAGCGATAACCAGACGAGTGTAATACTCGAGTGTTTATTGCCGAATGACTTTCATTTGGTGCATGATCAGTGTTGGCTCTTTTAACACTGGTATGGGGTTAGTCTTATATCAAGAACCATTGTTGACTACGCATAAATATCTGACAGAGTTTCTAGAAGATCATGTTTTACTGTTCCTGGTTATCTTTGGAGACGATGCAACATTTATGTATGTCATGCATGATAATTCACGGCCCCAAATTGCTCGGATAGTTATTGAGTATCTTAAAAATATGCAAATCACTCGATTTTTTTTCTCCTGTACGATTTCTAGATTTAAATCACATTAAATATATTTGACATGAAACGCAGAGACATTTACGAAAACTTGTGCCGGCCACAGAACACCTAGCGACATTGACAGAGGACGTTAGTCCAGAAATGATTCGTTTATTTCATCGCTAACATCCGAAACAAATGCATTCTAAAAAAAGGAGAAATTTACTCATCATTTTTCCTATTTTTTAGGTTATTGCAACAGAATGATTAGACCTATAAATAATATTTACTAGATAAACTCAATGGTTGAACTTGTTACTCTGATAATTCGTATCCAATCACGAATGATTAGATTGCCAGTTTGATTTAAATTAATGGCGTCATTAATTATATTTATGTATAAAAAAGTAAAAGTTCTATTAAGTTTGTATAATCTTATAGAGATCAAACTGGAAAAATGATGTCAAGCAAAAAGTATCGATGAAAGATATTGAAAGGTATATACAAATTAAAATTAATTAACGTTAAGAGACATTAGTGTGCAAAATAATTATGTAAAAATAAAAGAGTCAACGCGATATAAACACAAATTTAAATAATTACAGATACTGCTCTAACCTAACCAGAAAATTAACTCTGTAATATAACAATCCAGCATTTATGTGAGTAATAAATCTAACAAAAGTCTTTGATCGAATGAAAATACAGGACATAACACACTAACACACTTACCATATATACTCATCATCATTAGTTAGCGCTACAGCCCTTCGTGAGCTCTGGCCTGTCTCAAAACATGCTTCCATCCTTCCCTGTCGGTTATCTGTCTTCTCCATCCCTTTACTCCAATTTACCTTAAATCGTTTTGCACAACGTTCAAATACCTGAGTTTAGGTCGCTGCCTTATTTTAGTGACCGGTCTATTTAGCATGGTTATTTTAGAAGGATTACTTTCATCCATCCGCATAAAGTGGCCCACCCATATTAGGTAATTTATTTTGATGGTTTTGACGATATGTGCATTACCAAAAAGTCTATAGACTTCGAAATTATATTGCCTTCTCCTCAACCCTGATCGTTAACTCCACCATATAATGATTGTCAATACTTCTAGTACTAGGGTAAACACCATAGTTATGGGACATCACATAGTTATTGGACATTTTAGTTATAAATGAAAAAAACAAGATTCGTAATTATTGAAATACAACTACTCACCAACAGATGTCGAGAGCGCCTCAAACTACTCCATTTTAGTAAGGTACTTGTCATTCCGCTTTGATATGTGCATTTTATTTCATTGTTAAAAGTGCACGTGGGCAGTTGGTAAGTATTGCTTAATACTTTGTTAACAATCATAATTTTGAAGAACATGTAAGGTATCTTTTTTCGACAATTATATGGAATTTTTGGCGAGTCGTATCTGATCATAAATATGCGAACAATAAGTTGTTTATACGTAATTTGACTTAAATCTTGTTCTTAACCTAAAAATCAGGTGTCCCGTAACTGTATCAAAAATTTGCAGCTAATTTTATTATTGGACATGTGTCCAATAACTGTATATTATTTAATACTTTAAATAGTGTTGCATTAATCTAGTCGCAGTGTATTTAGTATACCATAAATTTTGTTTTATTTTTAGGTTGTCATAAATAGTTATTGGACAGGTGTCCAATAACTGAATTATTAGTGTCTTATAACTGTGATTCTAACTGGCATAGGTAAAAAAGATGCCTAAGTTAAGCGAATATGATAGAAATAAAATAGAAGAGGCTGTGCAGGATGTTCTGAGTAAAAAGGAATCCTACAGATCTGCTGCACGAAAATACAGAATACCTAAATCGACCATTGAATTTAGAATTAAACATCCAGAGCACAAAACTACTTGTGGTCCTTCGCCGATTCTTACTGAAGATGAAGAGAAAACTTTGGTTAGGTAAGATGTGTAATCGAACAATATTTAGACAATTTTTATTAATGTAAATTTTACTCTATTGTTTAAGATGGATCACAGAGATGGCACGAAAGGGATTTCCCAGAAAAGCAAACGACCTGAAGGCCAGTGTGCAAAAATTTTTAAATGATAATCCTCGAAAGAATCCATTTAAAAATAACTGTCCTGGAGATGGGTGGGTCAAAGTAAGAATTAAGAGAAATTGACTTTTACATTAAATAAATTAAATTTTGTTTTTAGGCATTCTTAAGAAGGCATCACGAACTTTCAGAAAGAACCAGCGAATCTGTCACGTCAGCTAGTGCGTGCGTCTCTGAAAATGACATAAGAAAATGGTTTGTAGAAATTGATAATTACATAAGAAAAAAAGGATTAGAAGATGTAATAGCCGATCCGTCTAGGGTTTTTAATGGCGACGAATCTGGGTTTCAGATTAATCCGACCACTGGAAAAGTATTTGCGCAACGAGGCTCAAAGAACGTTTATGCAATTGATAGGGGATCTCCAAAAGAAAATATAACCGTTATGTTTTCGTTTTCAGCGAGTGGTGATACTTGTGTGCCTATGATAATTTATCCATATATGAGATTTCCAGAAAAAATTTCAAAATCTCTAAACCCAGAATGGGGAATTGGACGTAGCGCTAACGGATGGATGACGAGTGAAACGTTTTTTGAATACATTGCCAACGTTTTTCATCCCCACCTTGTAAAGAACAATATAAAATTTCCCGTCATCCTTTTTTTAGATGGACATAAATCTCATCTCAACTATGCTCTGAGCGTTCTATGCAGTGAACTACAAATAGAGATATTTGCGCTATATCCAAATGCTACAAGGATTTTACAGCCCTGTGATGTGGCAGTTTTTCGGCCTTTAAAAGAAGCTTGGCGTCGATGTGTTAGGCAGTGGGATGAAAAACATCCAGGAGAGGTCCTAAACAAGGTTAGTTTTGCACCTGTACTGGAGAAAGCCCTTAAGACAAGTATAAAACCTGAAACACTAATTAATGGCTTTAGAGCTTGCGGACTGTTTCCATTTAACCCCAGTGCAATTGACTATTCAAAATGTTTGGGAACTAATACGAAAGAAAAAAATCATTTTGAGGAAGTTTCTTTATTGCCTGATTCAGTGATGGATTATGATACGTTTACCAATATTGTTGGCGAAGAAAAGATAATTCAATTTCGATTGTTAAATGAGCAGATTCCGAAAGCTGGCAGTGACGAGTTTATTTCCCTATTTAAAATTTGGCAATATTTCAATAAACAATCTGAAAATAGTAATGAAGTTAAAATTAATGATGCTGTGACAATTACATTAACAGATAATAATGAAAATATTAAAACAAATTCGGATGACATAAAAGATCCTCAACCTGAAAACAATAGTGAAGATACAATTATGGATGCTAAAAAAATTACAATCACAGATCAGGAAGAAATCTCTATTGATTTGAAACATCAAGATGCAAATCAGTTTACCTTACCTGAGAAACCAGAGTCACCACACACTAACTCTGTAACTATATTATCAGTAGACGTTTTGGTGCATGCACCAATGGAAAAAGAAACGACAATATTGGATATGCCCAACCAAGTTTCAGGAAATAAGACTGAAAGTAATTTAACGACACAAGATAATTCCACGGATAATACTCACGTTGTATCAACTAATAAAACTGAAAATACATTAATAAATAAAACCGTGGCAAATTTAATGAAAACACCTGAAGATATTTTGACAGATAGTGCGGGAACAAGTTTTCAGACAAGCAATAAGGTTCGTAGGATTGATTCAACATTATTTGGGCAGTATCTGACAATTCCAGAAAGTCCTAAGAGAAAAGGGAAGAGAAATACTGAAAGAATTCCATTTGCAATTACTTCAAAAAAATGCCAAGAAATGTTTGAAAAGAAGCTCGAATTAAAAGACAAAGAAGAAAAGAAAAAAGAGGAGAGAAAAAGAAAACGAGAAGAAAAAGTTATGGCTAAAACAAAATCTGATGTCAAAGGAAAAATTCCCGTAAGAAAAAAACTAAAAGAAAATAAAAGCTGTTTTGTATGTAAAAGTACCATTCTATCCAAAAATAATCAAATCCAATGTGACACTTGTCAATTCTTTTTTCATGAACAATGCATTCCAACGAAACATAGGCAGTATATCGTGGATATAGATGATCCAGATGAGATTTTCCTTTGTCATACATGCTTCAAAGCATCTGATAGTGATTGCTCCATAGAATCTAATACTAGTGTACACGATGATAATTCGGAAGCAGAAATTGACGAACTTTATAGTTTTTACCAAGATGCTGTAAAAAAAAATATGTAATGATAATTTTTTAATATGGACTATCTTGTAAATATTTTGTACTTAAAATAAAAATAGGTCAAAGTAACTTTTTAAATAATAAATACCTAATCCTAAATAATAGTGGTTTTTTGGTATTTACCGCCTTTTTAGTGTTTGTCCAATAACTATCACATACATGTCCAATATCTGTCAAAATCGTCCAATAACTGTATTTTTTTGCAGGTTTTTGTATTATTCTTTTTTATAATAAATGGTAAACGTCTAACTAAATTTCCAAACCATAGGTCTAAAGAGCATTAATTTATCTTTTAGGAAAACCCAAGTTTGTCAGCAAATAATTGTAAGTTATAATTTTATGAATACATTAAAAACAAAAAAGCTTAACTGTCCAATAACTATGTGCTTTACCTAGATTCGTAGTAACTTTTAATCTTGGTTCATCATTGCCTATGTTTTTGTGACACCTGAAAGTTATTGTGTTGCATACTTGATATAGCTGGCATATATTTAGTTTTCTGGGAGTTAATGAGAAGTCCGATGTTTTCTGCGTCGTTTTTAATACGTGTGACAACTTTTACTGTCACAATTAACAATTATCACGATACCATCAGCATATGTCATTATTTGTATACTACATTTATGTACCGTTAAGTTTATTTCAGAATCTGTCATAACTTTTTTTAATGGTAGGTAGAACAACGTGCATGATAGCGCATATAGCTGGCGCAGTCCTCTGTTGTAAATTTAAATTAATTCTATTAATCCTTTTGGTACTCCAAATTCGAGCGTTGGAGCCTATTAACAGTATTGTACGCTGCCTTAAAATTAACAAAGATGTAATGGCAGTCTATGTCGTACTCCGTCGTTTTATTTTTAATATTTGTCTGATCTTCTTCTTCTTCAAGTCCCATCTCCGCGGCGGAGGTCGGCACTCCTCGTAGCTATTCGGAATTTTGAGATGGCTACTCTGAAAAGTTCATTTGATGTACATCCGTACCACTCTCTCAGGTTGCGCAGCCATGACATTCTACGCCTCCCTATGCTTCTCTTTCCTTGGATCTTTCCCTGCATAATCAGTTGGAGCAAGGTGTATTTCTCTCCACTTGTAATATGTCCGAGATATTCTAATTTTCTTGTTTTAATTGTATTTAAAATTTCCATTTCTTTATTCATCCTTCTCAGAACTTCTTTGTTTGTGACGTGTTCTGTCTACGATAGTTTCAGAATTCTTCTACATACCCACAGCTCGAATGATTCCAGTTTTTTCATTGATGTTGCATTCAAGGTCCAAGATTCCATTTCATAAAATAAAGTCGAAAAAAACAGCACCTCGCCAACTTACTCTTAGTTCCAGTTTTAAATCCCTGGTACATAGCACTCTTCTCATTTTGTTGAAATTTGCTCTAGCCTTTTCTATTCTGATTTTGATTTCCTGAATGAAATCAATGTAATCATTTGTCTGATGGATGATATGTAATTAATGGTAGATCTGTTTTCTCAGAAGCCTCTTTGGTATGATCCTATTATATTGTCAGTATACTGTGCCAATCGTTTGTAAAATATCAAGGACAAAATATTGTATGCCGTTTTAAGAAGGGAAATTCCTCTAAAGTTGGATCAGTCATACACGTTTCTGTTTTTGTGTATAGGGCATATATTTGCAATATTCTAATCTTCTGGTAAAGTACGTCTTGTTATAGCTGTAATAATAATTTATGAAAGAGGGTCACAAATGTTCTCTTGTGGCTTGAAAACTTCTTCTTTTGTGTTAACTTGTTTGTAAAATTTTTTATGTTCGTGTTCTCTATTTAATTTTTTTATTTTTGTAAACTCTTTATTGATTTCTTTTCTCTTTTTTTTCTTCTTCTTTCTCTTCATCTCAAGTATTTTCATCTCTGATGTTTCTAACATCCTTTTTGTCTTCTCTGTGTTAGGTGGTGTTTTTGCCGCCTATGTCATTATTGGTCTAATGACTGTTTTGTAAATTATGCCTTTCATTTCTTTACCGATATTTTTGTTTCTCTCATATTGTTTTATTCAGGCAACCTGCAGCTCTGTTTGCTCTATTCACTTGATCTTCCACTTCAGTTTCAAACTTCCCGTAGCTAGATAATGTTATGCCTAGATATTTAAACTCCATCAATTGTTCTATTATCTGACCTTCAAGTTCCAATTTACATTTACAGTAAATTTGCTGTTACATATCACGTAATTAAGGTAGAATTTAAAATACAATTGGTTTTGTTTTGTTTTGTTTTACATTTGGTAATGCCGTCGAATATCCGCTTCGCGTAGTGCAATAGGATGTACTTTTATCCGTTCACCATGCATTCTGTCTTTTTTGGGGAAATTATCATGTTAAATTTTCTGGCGGTTATATTAAATTGTGCAGCATACGTTGTAAGTATCTTCACTTTTTTGATTTGTTGTCGCTTATTCTGTTTGTGCTTTTATTTCTCCTCTCTTCTCTTTAATGGATATTCTTTAACATTGCTCCTAGTCCTTTTGTTGATAATTTTCATTTTATTGATCATTTTCAGATACGCGTCATTGTTCTCTTTGGTTACTCGTTTGCATTCCTCATCAAACTAGTTGTTTCGCTACCTTTTGGGTACCTAACCCAACACTTCATCTGCGATCTTTTGCAGCGGATGCAGTAAACTCCCAATTTGTGTTGCTATACATACGACTTTACAATTTAAGAACGGTAGAAAATATATCATAAGACAACAAAGTCATTGCTAATACAGGGAAATAAGTAATAGAACTTATAAGATAAGAAAAAGTTTAAAGCTGAAAAAAGCATTCTATAAAATAGGTACCTGCTAAACAGCATCAGATATGCAGATGACACCATAGCATTTGCGGATAAACTAGAAAAACTTCAAGTTTTTCATGAACAAAATCAAGTATTACAGTCAACAATTGGACTCAATATAAACATAAAGAATACAAAGCTCATGAAAATAAGCAACAAACTCGGCACAATGATGAATGAAAAATCGACCAATAATCCAGATGGAGGCTTTCTTCAAGAGCCACAACCTCTCTCTTGGTGTAAAAGTAATAATGCTGTGATGCTATTTCTTCTGTGTCCTTTTTTATGTATTGAATGATGTACCATTATCTTTAAGATTCTGTTATATTGAAAATACTTAAGATCCCGTGAACTAACGGAGTCACAAATGAGAAGATCATAAGAAGAATGAGGAATAACCGAGAGATACTGATTACCATCAAACTCAAAAGTTGCAGTATTTTGGACACATTATGCGAAATAAATCCAGATATGCCCTGCTACAGGTCATCCTGAAAGTAAAAATATTTGGACAGCGAGGTCCAGGAAGAATAATAACATCCTGGTTAAAGAACTTCAGAACCTGGTTCAACACAATATCTGTGCAGCTTTTCCGCACTGCTGCAGAAAAGATAAAGATTGCCATGATGATCCCCAACATTTGTCACGCGTAGGCATATCAAGAAGATGGAGAAGTCATATCAGTTTACATTTTTAAAAGTTTGTGATTTGTAAGTAAAACGAGGGAAAGACAGCTTTCAAATGACAGTTTTAAATCATTTTTACAAACGATGCGCATTCGCCGTTTTTAATGATTATCTCAGTGAAAAATTATAAAAACTATGAGCAGGCCATTTGTTATCAAAAGGTTTATTAATTTAACATTTTTTATTCACAAAATATATTGCGTTCAATGTTTAATAATAATAATACTTAAAATTATATTTTGGGATTTTTTGGCTGAAATGTCACAAAATCTCACAAAATGGTACACATCCAGTATTGCATGAAACATTAAAAAACAATGAACACGCATCTTAGTTCAGCTTCCCAAAATTTTATATTTCAGGATATATAAATCAATTTCATTACTGCGCAAAATAATATTATATTATTAGTTTTCTTACTGCTTTTTATCATGTCTGTAATTTTAGCTGAAGTATGTTTTGTTTATTAATTAACTTAATTTACAAAGAGAAATTTTTAGCTGTAAATTATTCGGGTTAAATCTTAAAATTTAATGATAAATAGTGCTATAACTGTAATATAATAAAATATTCACTAAGCACTTACCTTGGGACATTTACAAACTGCTCTGTGGTTGCTAATCGTTTCACATTCGGCGTTTTTACCACATTGGCTCAAACAAGGATTTTGGCATTTAAATTCGATACATGCAAGCGTAGGACCACATTCGACATCACTTTCACATTCATGGCGACATCCCGCTAGTGGAGATCCATGGAATCCTGGTAGGCAAGAACAAGTAGGTACTTCGTTTTTCACTTCACAGTGGGTGTTTGGTCCACAAGGGCTTGGATGACAAAGCTCCTCTAAAAAAAGGACAAATATAGTGACTTAATAAATACATTCTACTATAAGTATACACAGAAATTGTTAAAACTTTGAAAGGATGGATTATATTTTGAGCTTAAGATTTTCAAATTTATGACCTCGATATATCCGGCACTGAAATAACTAAAATTGGTTATAGATAAAAATTTTGAATTTATTATGTAGTTTGAACTATACAATGATAAGGTGGTTGGAGTGCTAAATGGTGAGAGCAATGACAGTAACCAGTCAGCATAGCTGTCACCATAATGCCGGTTAAGTGGATGGATGCCACCGACTTAGATGATAAGCCTGAGAAAAAGAAACTAGCAAAGTTCTTGAGTTTACTTCTAATGGATTAGAATTGTTTAACACTTTTACATTTAGTGTAAAAGAAGATGAAAAAAAGTTGGAACCAGTCATGGATAAATTTGAAGAGCACTGCTCCCTACCATAAATCAAATATTATTTATGAGCAGTTTAAGTTCATCAGCATTGTCCAAAATAGGGATACAATTTTGATAGTTTTGTGACTGAGGTAAAGAAAGCAGTGAAAAAGATTGAGTATAAAGATCAGGACGACATGGTTAGAGACAGAATATTTGTTGAAATAAAAGACAAAAAAAAAGAAAGAGAATCCAAACTGAAATTGCAAAAGGCTATTACAACATGCAGATTAAGTAAAAGTAGTTAAATTCAGGCACAAGCGTTTACATCTAAATCAACAGTGGATACAGTTAGGTCAAACAGATATTTCACAAAAAGTATGAAGATATCGTGGGTTTAAGCATCGAGGAAGGAAGTGTCCTGCACATAGTAAAACTTGTACCCATTGCCAGGGTAGGAACAACTTTGTTGGAGTGTGCAGCAAGAAGAACATAAATATTATGGAGCAGAGAAAGTCAACAAACAAAAAGTGAGGTACATGAAGTAAAAAACCAAATGAGTAGGTAGTGAAAGTGAAAGGTATGGTAGTGAGGCTATATATCAGTTGTGTCAAAACAACTGACATATAATTGAAATCTGGAAGCTCCCAGATTATCTGAAAACAGAATATTCGGGTAAAAAACTGTATAGTGGAATTTAAGTTACATATTGGTGCAGAAGTAAATGTTCTGCCTCTTTAGTATATACAATATTTTGGTATAAAAAAATAAATAAAACCAATGTGACAATTACGTCTTATGGTAGTTGATGGAGTTTTCTCTGATTTCCACCAATTGTTGTGGGGAAAGCTTATTAAATTCCTTTCCCCGTGCGTGTACAGTTCCAAATATTTTAGGACCATGGACTGTACAAGAGTGTTTCCTTCGATATATACAAGCAGAACTTCACGGCGCTGGTTCTTTATGTGTTTGATTTAATAGGGGTTGTACTTAGAGAAAAATAAGCGTAATTAATTGAATTTACACATTTAATAACAAGAGAATATTTACACAAACACTAATACTAACGAAAGAGTTCGCTTTAAAACATTGTCCATTATTATATCGGCGTTTTACGGGCGCGCGAAACTATCGAGAAAAACAAATACACGTTTCACTGCATTTTGGCGGCGAAGAGAGAGATTAGGTACCGGCTACTATAGATAAAGTCACGTTCAGATGGCAGTGTACGGATATAGGATAACAGCGTTGCCAATTCTACTGCCATTGTAAGTTTTGCTACTTTTGTAAAATAAGCAGGGCCAAACTCACGGTAAACTAAGATATGTTTAGGTAAGCTAAAGTTGTTAATAGAAAATTCGTGAATGAAATAAATGGTAATAATTCCTAAAATGCTTTTATACATAATACCGCAGTTAATAGGGAAAAAAATATGAAAAATATTCTACAGGTTTTTTAATGTTCTAAACGGTAGATAAGGGATAACTGATGATAATTCCTTGAAGAATTACAGCCAATTTTGCTTTGTTTATTTTTTAAAGAAAGATGAAGTTTGGAAAAAATCATTTTTTTGCCTATTTTGTTCCTCGTGCATTTTAGGGAAAAATGTTTCAAATAAATGTTGCAGATCTTAAAAAGTTTTTTAATTTTTTAGTTTGTAAATTAAAATACATAAACAAATGACTGAGATAATTGCAAAAAACCCCTAATTGAGGCCCCTAGAACACAAGGGTGTAAGTGCAGTTGCTTATCACTTAGCAACTGATATCTAACAACAGGCACGTACTTTTGGCTTCAAACTTTCTACATTAACAACAATAACACCATCAAAAATTACATGTCATTGAAAACATGCTGAAAACTGAAAAAGTGCTACCTAGGTTTTTAAATTTATATCGAACTTTGAACAAAGATTTTTCAAAACTTTGTTTTTGGCACTTACACCCCTTGTGTTCTAGGGGCCTCAATTGTGCACTAATTTATTAAATGTTCATAACTTTATTTTTTGCATAATGACGTCTAATATAACTACTTGAAATTATGTCGATTAATGAGTTATTTAAGTGTGCTACATTTCAACCAGATCAACTAAATATTTTATTACCTTTACTGAGAAAAGAATACCCCCGAAAAACAATTTTCAATCATCTTCATTTTCATAATCTAGTTCATCTTCAGAGTCATCGTTTAATGAAATTCTAATAGGTTCAATGTCATCTTGAATGTTGTCTACTGTCCAAAAATTATTCTCCAATTTTATAACATGGTTGACGTAATTTTTCCAATGTCCATTGTTCTGTACTTTATCATAACCTTCATAAATCAATGTTTTAACGTCGTTTTGTTTGAAACTTGAATTCTTAGAGGACACGTACCGTTTCACTTCACTCCACACCATTTCTATTGGGTTCAGTTCACAGTGATAAGGCGGAAGTCTTAAGATATGTACATCTACGCGGCATTGTTCGTCACTGTGATTCCTGTATTTTTCACCAATACAATCAATTTTGTATTTGTCATAAATATTTTTAAATACATTAGCAGTTTCCAGAAGTTCATTTTTTAAGTAATCTTCTTCAAAATAAATGTCCTTTTCATAGAGCCACTCCTTAATTTGACGTTTCACCCAATATTGTTTGGGAAAATTTAATTTCCTAGAGTGATAAGATGCATTGTCCAAGATAATGACATTCTTTTTATTTTTTGGGAGATTCGGTATTAACATCTCTTCAAACCATTTTTCAAATAGATCTCCGTCCATCTCTTCATGGTAATCTTCAGCACCTTTTTTGGCAAGAAAAGTGATGTCAGCACCTTCAACAAATCCGTCTTTGTTTCCTGCATGGACTAAAACAAATCTTGGTCCTTTTCCGGTCGGAGTTTTTAAACCTGTGGTAAGTCCATTTACGAAAGCCTGTCGGCTATTTTTTATTGTTGTATCTTGCCATACTTGCCCATTGGTTATTCCAGTATTAACCCATGATTCGTCCATATAAATGATATTGGCTCCTTCGTTCCTCAGTTTCTTTATTTCCCGGAGATAGTGACGCCTCCAAGCGACTATTTCTTGTTTTTCTATTAATATTGAATTTCTACCTTGTTTGCCATATATAAAACCCATGTCGTGCAATAGTCTTCTCAACGTACTCTTGGAAAAATTCGGAAGATGCTCCATTTGCTTAATTTTTTCTAGTACTACGTCAAGGGTTGGAGGAATATTGTCCATAAAAAAACCGTGCACTACTTGTCTTATTCTAGACCGAGTTGCTTCATCATATCTATTCTCACGACTATTCAAATAACCGGTTCTTTTTTTTCTTATAGGAGTTACGAGTGGACCATTTTTACTTTCACTTCTATATCGGAATATCGTTCGCTCAGAGACTCCAGTCATAGCAGAAACTTCCCGCACTATTGTTGATACACTTTTATCATTATTACTGTTTGATAAATAGTTAAAAACATTTAACACTATTTTTTTGCATTCACTATTTAACAAATTACCGTTTTTGAATTTTATTACACTCGCGGCCATTTTGACACTGACACGACACAAACGTCTGATATCAACTGAAAATTCTTTTAATGACTCTCAAGTATTTACCTGAATTTATAATTGCTGGCATTAGACAATAATTTTGAATTTATAAATAGGTATATTTTTTTAATTCTAAATTATTTTTTAATGTCTGTAACTGTAAATGCAGGTAGAGAAAGTGTGTCATTAAAAGGACATTAAGATCAAAAACGGATTATACAAATAATTATTTCATTTCCACGAATTGTAAACAATTTTGAACAGAAGATATAATTCCGAAAAGACCAGATTTCCGAAATATAACTTTCTATTTTTAAAATACCAACAGAAAAATTATATAATTAAAAAAATGTAGTATTTTTCCGTTTCACATTCATAAATATTTCCGAAATTATAATTCTTTTATAGGAGCCGGCCCATAACGTACGATTGTAGGTACGATTAAAAACTGACAACAATGTAGTTATTTCTGGCATATAGAAAGTACAGGCCTATCTCTGTAACGCTGCCATCTGAATGTGAATTTATCTATAGTACCAAACAGCTTGAGACACTAGTCACATCTGCGAGAGATTTTGAATTGAATCTTTACCTAATTGCCGACAAGGCGGCGTCGGTTTTACCACTTTAAACAACCCTTATAAGCTATTTATGGCACAAATATTCTGCAGACAAAAGTACAGTCTGTAACATAAATTTCAAACCAATATTTGTAAGAACTAAAAATTATACTAAAATTAATATAAAATGTTGTTTTTACAACATACTCGCCCCCGTTGAAGCGCTGGCTTTAACACAAATAAACAGATAATATTACGACAAGAGAGCATGGGGAAGAGAAAATACACTACAATTCTAATCTTATACTAACTTAATTTAAATCGTCATTGGGTAGAGGACACAATTTGGTAATAGAGCGCTTGAAGACTCCATCTTTAGTTTTGACCGAGGCAATTCTTACTCTCCCATCCTTTCCTGGAAAGACCTCAATCACTCTTGCTAGTACCCAATAAAGAGGAGGAGTGTTGTCTTCAATCAACAAGACGAGATCGTTGGGTTCTAGGTTCTTATGCGG